AAACAACATATTATGATCAAAAACAGTTGCAGATTGAACTAGCAATAGTATCATATGCCCAATTTATTCTATCCCAAATCTGACTGACTCTTATGTGAATTTGAAGCTTGAAACAACATGATCAAAAACAGTTGCAGATAGTACTACATGTACATGTAGCAATAGTATCATACATCCAATTTATTCTGTCCCAAACCTTACTGAGCCTTATGTGAATTTGAAGCTTGAGCCGTCATAAGATCCACGTTTTGTAAACCTTACAGACATTGCTAAAATTATAATAGTTTGAGTAGAATAGGATGAGTCGCGTTATTTGGGGGCATCTTGATAGTCGAAGGTTCATTGGTCGAAAAATGGTAACATTTTCATCGTATTTTTCAATCAAGGGTTCATTGGTCCGAAGGTTCTCTTGTGAACTTTTGGACCGATGAATCATCGGACTATTGAACCTTCGGACTATTGCAATGGGCCCCATTATTTCAAGACTGGTAAAATGCTGCTTAATGAAATGATTATGTGTGCATTTATCATTGTATTAACTGTGGATTACAAGTTTAGAAAATGAAACTTTAACTAGTGGGAACTAATGGGCCCAAATTGAATCCATTTATTTCACTTGCCTGGTAACCAATCATAACATTTCTTTAAATGACAATTTGATGAACAATAATTCCTGCATATGCAGTTAGGAATTATAGATTGGTAATGATAGATTCACATCCTTATGACCGTTTAAAAACAAGGGAAAGTTATTTTGTATATAATTCCTTGTAATGGGGAAATGAAACTATATAAAGGCTTGTACACAGAAATAAAAACTAATGCAGTTGCTGCTCACTTTTTGTGAAAAAGTACGATCTGAAACACTAACAAAGATGGCAAGTTATTGGTTTTCGCTACTTTTGATTACCGGATTTGTGGCCTATGCTGTTGGCTGTATTGTAAGTAGTCCAATATGTAAAAGAAAGCATATTTTATAGCAAAAATGCAACTGGAAACACACCTCATAATTCAACAATGATGGAAAGTACAATTTATATATATTCTCTCCATGGGTATTTTTCTTCAGAGTTTTTAGAGGACATTAGAAACTCACTGTCTACTGTCAGAATGCCTTCGCCTGTTTCTAGTATCTGGTATGCTGATACGGTACATTGTAGAGAGGTGTCCTCTAAAACTTTGAAGGATGTACACAAAAAAAGGCAGATATGACTTGAAAAATTATTCATTTTTTCTATGATACGTAATCAATTACTCACTGTGTTTTGTTTTTCTTTCTTTCCTTTTCTTTTTAATTGTACATGTCACCTGTTACCATTTTTTTTTTGCCCTGTAAGTTAAGTAGTGGGGAGATCTGGTGTGAAACTCGTGTTGCAGTAGAGAGAATGTTTTTGAATTTTTAATATGACTAATATTGCATCTTGTGATTTACTATCACATTTTACAATGTTTATGCTCCAGAGCGAATGCGTTACCGTGAACACGGCATGTTCTGACACCTGTCGAAATACACGTGTGACAAGCTTTAGAGAGACCAAACCCCTCGACCTTGTTGCATCTCGGCAAATAGTGGTGGAACTGGTGAATTGTTACTCCGGGTGTAGTGCTTCCTTTAAGGACTGTATTGGTGCATGCTTGCAAGGGCAATTCCCCAAAAAGTAGCAGCACTAGAGGCCTCTAAGAACTGAACCTCAAGCCATTTGTAAATAATGAATGTGTATGCTGTAGAATAAAAAGATGCTGCTGAGTACTTGTAGTTTGTCATTATTCTATTTTGTAAATTGGGAAGGATCTGAGTCTAACAATAAAAAGTGATGCAAATTTTTTGGCAAGGGCTTTAGATTCATCAAAGTATTAATTGAACATACGTACACACACACACACACAAACACACATATACATCCACCAATTTTGTTACAAGAAATCAATACGCACAGGACAATTGACCAACTCCATTAATGACTATGATGTACCAGAAATGCAATATCTTAATGTTCTTAAATTCGCCAGCTCGTTTTTTTTAAATATCACATGACTGACAATCAGTACCAAAAGGTCACCCCAATAAGTCTTCAAGGGTGCAACTGTTCAATTAGATCACAAAATATTTAAAGACATTTTTGAAATTATAAGCGGATGGTCCATGTATGTCATGTATGATACTGCACCTGTAATCTTTTTACTGATACAGTTCTAGAGTTGTTTTGTGACTTTAGCTACTTTCTTTGCCGAAATAATTTTACAACAATAGTTATTTTTTTCGGAAAATATAAACGTGAGACTGGCATTCTAAGAGCACATTTAGGTAGGCTCTTTGTTGATAGTTGATTAAACACAACCAGTTTTTTAACGTATCACATGTAGCTAATGTCAGGATACTGGCACTTATTGATTCAGACTTGTGGACGGGTACACTTTGACGGGTACAATTTTGTACATGTATACCATATTTAAGGGCCCCTGATATATCAGAGGGAAGTGAATGGGCATCTTCATCAATCTAAAACATAAGACACTTGCTCTTCTAAGGAGGGGGTCCGACAGGGGTTCAGCATTGGGCAGGTCTGGTACATATCCGAATGCTGGCATTCCAGACTTTAATTAAAAAAGTAACATGTCCTAGCTTGCATCTAGATTTCATCTCTAAACACATATTGACGATTTTACAATCGTCAAAACTTTCGTTTTCATTTGCTCCATTTCAAACATCTACAGTAAGCATTAATATTATGACTTCTGTAATCCCCTAAGATTAAACAATTCTTGAAAAGTACATCAAAAACATTTTTTTAGGTTGACGAACAACATTTCGCAGCATCATGGTGTCATGTCAAGTGTTTGTGGTATCGAGGTTTTTCATATTATTGTTACTGTTGATTGGACGTGGAGGGGATAGCTAGCACACTTGGGCTGCGTTCACATGAAAAATCTATTTTCTAAATATTTAAAAATTTATTTGTGGTATCCCTGAATACCCCACGGCGTAATTACGGGCAGTCAGTTAATTACTTCCAAAGCTGTAATTAATTCTCGGCTGCGCTTGGAGGAGATTCTGACACCTTGATGCATGCACAGTAGTATCTTTAAGTTGTGGGAGTTCATATATATATATATATATATTACTTATTTGAAATATTAAACAAAATTTACCTGTATGATTATCACTGCTTCCTTATTATGGACACTGATATCTAGCAGAGAGCTTAACCTTCTTCACTTATTGAGCTTAACCTTTGGGAGCTTACAGGGAAATATCAACAAGTGTGCTTTATGTAATCTCATTTAATGGCCACTTAATTAGGCAAATGACTTAATAGCTCTGAACTTAGCCTAGTGAATACCCAAGGGGAATTTACAGACTGACCACACAAATTTGTCACACCTTAAGAAAAGCAGAAAATAATAGTGCACAAAATAGGAGACTGCCAATTCTTATGCAATAATACATTATGTTTATCTGCACAGTCAACATCAAATTTTAATTATGCACAACAGGTAACACCGATGAAAGTAAAAGCATAAGGCTTCAGGCCCATCAGAGTTCAAGTTTACACTTAGAAAGTGCTAGAATGAGAAAAATGAACATTTCACAAAAAATGCATAAATTTAATAAAAATGATAATCCAAAACAGCTGGTTTGCTAATATGAGCTGTACGTCAATCCTAAGAATCATTCTTGTAAGACTAGTTTAAAAAAAATAGAAAGTAACAGTTTTCTTTCCATAACGTTAATGGTGGCAGTGCACAAAGTAGGTTTTTTGTCAAGTTTGATGCAACATTACATAATGATTAACTGTATAAATACCACCAATTTTTAAATATCTACTATTAAAAACATGGACATTAAGAAAATTTGATTACCACTGGGGTAATGCCCAAGGGAGCTCTAAATCCCACATTGAAAATTCCAATATGTGAAAGATAACAATTTTCACAAAAAACTATATAACTTCCAGATAATTAACTAATGAGACAGATTTTCCAACAGAAGCTGTATTTCAGTTCTATGTTTCTTTCTTGTAAGTGTGAGAAGAGTAAGTGACATGGTTTTCCTTTCACGGTCACTATGGGTTGTCTTCAATCTTGATGCAATATTACACAATGCTTATTACCAGCATAATTACCATCAATTTTTTAATATTAAAATAAAAGTATAATGGATATTCAAAAAATGTGACTAGCCCATAGAGTTCAGAGTCACACTTTGAAAATCCCCAAATGTAAACAAGAGATAACTGTATTGAAAAGAGTTAATTTCCATTTTCAACACCTTTTTTACATAAAACAAAATAATCAATTTACTGTCATTTTTATATGATCAATTAAAAAAATGTTGTCAAAGGAAAAACATCAATAGAACAATTTTAAATGTCCAACTTGCTCCATTCTGGGATTCTTAACTAAGTGAATGATTGGATCTGACGAACTGCAATGATATGAGTACATTTCCATTTTTGATACTTTATTACGCAATGCACGATAAGAGGTTTACTGTCATTTATATATAAACAACTAACAATATTGTTAAGAAGCAGAAAATGTCAAAACAACACTTTTACATATCTAATTAGTTCGTTCCATAATGAGACTGTTAACATGCCTAAAAATTAAATCTGAAGAAAAACCACTTAATATAATATTTAAAAAGGCATACTGTAACTGCATCAAAAACTTAACAGATCAAGCTTATTTTCAAACTTGATTTGTATATTAGACCCCATCCCCATAGATTTTAGATCGATCTATCCCTGTGGGGAGTCTCACTAGATTACTGTCAGCTTAGCTGGCTTAAACGTCTGTCCCGCCTACTACAAGCTGATCACCCTTAGACTGATCACTTCTGTGAGTTGCAAGACAAAAGGCTACTCGATTTTCCTTAAAATGCATTATCAGTGTTGCATATTTGCAAAAAAAAAAAAAAAAAAAAAGTATAACTTTTGTGAAAATGGTCTGATCAAGCTGATTTTGGAACTTATGAATATTCATCAGTTCTGTAAATTTCAAGCCAAAAGGTTAAATGGTTTTCCATTAAATGGTTGTATATGCTGAAAAAATGAAAAAACAGTAACAATTTTTTAATTTTTTAATGCTGATTTTTGAGCTTGACCTGCAAATTGTGAATATTCATCACTTCTGTACGTTTCAAGCCAAAAAGTAAACCGGTTTTTCACTTATTTTGTTATCGGTGTTATAAAAATGCAGAAAAAAGTAAAAAAACAACACAACTTCCATAAAAATGGCCCGATCATGCTGATTTTCAAACTTGACCTGCGTATTATGAATATTCATCAGTTCTGTAAGTTTCAAGCCAAAAGGTAAAACAGTTCTTCACTTATTGAGATATCAGTGTTGCATATATGCTGTTTTTTCACTTTTCAACATATATGCAACACTAAAAATGGCCCTATCAGGCTGATTTTCAAATGACCTGTGTATTATGAATATTCAGCAGTTCTGTAAGTTTCAAGCCCAAAGAAGAAATGGTTTTTCCACTTATCGTGTTATTGGTTTAAGTGCAAGGCGACAACATCGACAGATGCAGGTGATGGCTATATGTACAGACACATCTGTGTCTGTACATAAAAATCAGTAATTATGCTTACACTTAAATCATACATGGTATGGTGAATCACTGGGTTTTATAGGTCAAGGGCAATGTTTGAAAATATATTTGATTTACTCTGTTGAAGCAATCAGCATTTATTAACACTTCATTAACCATTTTTACCTTTGTCTCATCTGCCAGTATATCTTTAGTGCTGTATCCACATGGCAAATGCCCGATTATTCCATTCTTATACCCCCTTTACACTGGACGGCGTCCTTTCTGCGTCCTTTCTGCGACCATGAAATTTGGCATCGCTGTGGTCTTAATAAGGAGGCACGAGCATTGATTTTGTATCAGAATGAATGCTCAATGATCGGCCAGTTGTCGGCACGTAAAGTATTATAATTTTTAACTCTCAAATGGGACCGTAGTGCTGGACGCAGAAAGGACGCTGTCCAGTGTAAAGGGGGCTTTAGGCTCAGGGGTATGACTCCTCATGTCCTTAGTCACAATATAGTTACTGTTAAGATCAGGGGTTGGGGAAGGCATGAGGCTTCCAGTAAAACTTGGAGAGCACGACCTTGAGGAGAGAGAGACATTGCAGGAACGCAAGTTCCCTTCAGTGAGCTGGTTACTGACATCATCTAAGGCTGTTAGCAGGTTTTTCTTTGCTCCTGAAACAAACCTCCTGTCCTGAGCTTCTTGAATCATCTACAAAAAATAAATAAAATACTGAACAAGTTAGATTTATCTCAAGGAGCTTTATACAATATCAAGAAAGTAAGCATCAGAGCATGAGCTGGTTACTGACATCATCTAAGGCTGTTACCAGGTTTTTCTTTGCTCCTGAAACAAATCTTCTGTCCTGAGCTTCTTGAATCATCTACAAAAAATAAATAAAATACTGAACAAGTTAGATTTATCTCAAGGAGCTTTGTACAATATCAATAAAGTAAGCATCAGTGCATGAGCCTGTAGCCCATACAAAGTACAGCACATTTTTAAACTCTGTTTAAACTCTACCATAGACTTAAATTGACAACTTCACCTTTTTTTGTAAAATGAACATAAGCCTTGTTTTTTCAAGTTATACATGTAATTTCTGAACCTTAACAATATCTTTATTTACCTAGTCCATGGCAAACTTACATATATACAAAACATTCATTTACAATATTTTGTTTCTTTCAACAGACTTACATCAGATGTCTTTGACAAAAACCAAAAAAATTTATTCATAAAATTTTACAAGTTTAATCTATTTTGAGACAACAAAAGTTTAATCACTTAAAGGCAACACATAATTTTTCTCACAAAATTTTACACATGCATGTTGTTTCTCAACGCAGATCTTTTTTTTTTATTTGATTTACATACAACTTACCCTATATGCATCAATGTCATTATAATCCATGGCCACCAGTTTCTCTATCAACTCCACCACATCACTAAAAAGACAAAGGCATATGCAAATCATATAAAACTTCCAATATGTGGTACCTACTCTAACCAGCTAGGTACCATCATAACTGAATAATAAATCCACCTGTGCACACTCCATAAAATATGAGAATGAGACTGCCTGGTAAAATTGAATTCAGCCTCATAGGTGAAATTTGGTGGGCCAAATTATATAACAGTAGAAAGAGCATATCTTTGGAACTCATTTTCCTAATCTAATGGGTGACAGGAATAAATTAATAAATATGAAAATATATGTTTTATACAAATTATTCATGTCTATCAGACTGATGATTAAAGAAAATCTGTTGTTTTTTTTCATACCAAAATTATATTGAACTATATTTGTTATGGCAAAGTTTACTAAATTTGATAAAAAGATTTTAATTAAAATCTTACAGAATGTCTTCTTTGGTCTTGGCAGTGATGACGGCATCTCTTTCGATTCTATCTTGACCTAAATCATATACATTCAAATTACTTTTCTGAATAATTTTCAAAATTGCTATATCACAACATATTTTTGTCCACGTTTTTCAAGAATTTCAGTCAATATTGAGGAACATTTATGTCTAAAGTCCTTTCCCTTTTTCAATTGATTTATTACAAGTACTTCAACATAATAAATATACATGTTACTACATACTAGGTATCATCAAAAAGAAAACCAAATCTTACTGAAAACGAATAAACTATTTCAACTATAAATGTGCTTTGATGATACATTGTATTCATTCAAATTTATATTAAAAGTTCAAAAACAAATATCTGATAACTTACACATTGTAATAAAAATAATTGTATCAGTGGCACCCTCTATCAGCTTGATTCTCGCTCCTGCAGCTCCAATTACTGAAAGACATAATGGTAAATGCATTTTTAAAAATCCTTCAAACTGTAAATTGTGGAAAAGTCGGATTTTTTTCCTAATATTGTTTTTCTTACAGCCATGTATAAAGGAAACCCTTATTCCTCAAACATATATCATATTAAAACATTACAAACCTTTTCCACACTGCTGGTATGGAATTCCAATGTCAAAAAACATACTCATCCTTGTCTGGCTTTCCGGAATGAGAGGAAAATGCTGAAGATGAGCTGACATCTATATAATATGCTTCCCATATTCAAATTTAACTTTCACTCAAAGGATCAAAATTTCCCAGTTCTGTTTCATGGAAGGGACACACTGTATTTCTATAATAACATTCAAAACCTAATAAATCACATTTTTTAAAAATGATAAGTATGACTCCACTGAAAATAAAAAAGAGTCTAGAAATGTCCCATTGTGATTAATTATATCTACAATGTACTGTGTAGGACTGGAAAAAGTGCCCAAAATGGCCACTGTGACTTTCAATACCATCGACTAGTGTGCTTTTACACCGCCTTGGCCGATTATGATGTGAGATCATCTCAGATTTGGTCTTTCAATCGAGAATGCCACATAAATCTTTAATAAGGAAAATATCTAAGTCTTGCATCGTTGATTTAATGACTTAATTATTAACTATAAATTTATAATATATAGATTCATTTAATGCTAAATTACAATCGCTTTGCGGCAAAATTTCAGGCTTAGGCCTATTTTCACCTAAAAAGATAACAAATTACACGAGTCATTAATATTTTAATAAATTCCCCGTATGTTTCAGTTTTCATCAATATACATCAAAATTATATTTTATACAAATATAGCAACACACTGTGCTCACAGAAAAAAATGAAACTTAGAATAAGACATTTTTCATAAAAAATAAAACAATTATTAAATAGAATGTTATAGCATTTGTTTATGTAACAGCTCTGTTTAGAAAACTATTTTCTTTTATTATTTAAAAGCAGTTATACATTAAACAAAGATAAAGAGCAAATATATTTTACATGTAACTGGGTGGTCCTGACCCCTCCCCCTTCGGTTTCTGAAAAATATATCACACCAATATTCCCCTCTTGAAAAAAAGTTTGACTAGCTGAATCATAGTTCTTAACCGTACCAAAGGGCACCGTTTGCCCTCAAAAAGATAAAAAATTTTCGGGGCCCTTGAGCAGGCAACGAACCCCACGCCTAGGGGGTGATGGTCGGCTTGTCTGTCGAGGTCTGTCGTTCCGGACCCCCTTCTAATAATCGTGGATCCGCCCCTGATCCCATCAATTAGGAAATTTATCTTTAATAAGAATATAAAAATGTATCGTATAAAATTTTTGTTTTCATAGTTTTTTGTCTATTGAGGGTAAGGGGGTAGAAGAAGGGGAATGATCAGACCTTCAATTACCCATTTTTCACAATCCCCCGTTATTTGCCATAGATTGACATCAGTAAATAGGCTTCATATTTAATTGGCAAAATCACCTATTCTACGCACATCGCACCATTGAGATCGAAAAGTAATGAACGGTACATGTCCAATACTTAATTTCTCAGATTATTGGCCTTGCCTCCATTTTCAGAGGGGGCACCACCTGTAACTCTCTGCCGTCTGTCCATGGTCTGGTCACCATATCCCACGATGTCCTCGCTTTTTTTCTTGCTGCATATCTCTAGCAGGTATTGAACAGGTAGTCTAAGTATCACTTACATTAAATTCCATGCTGTAAAAATGAAAACTCCACGCCAGTCAGAAAAATGTGCTTCGTAATTTCATGTTAAGGTTATTTCATCATTTTGGCTTTCTACTTTTTTTACTTCTCACCCCAACCCCTGAACCCGTTGAGGCAGATTATTTAACTCCATCTTCAGCAAAAAGTATACTTTTTCATTTTAGTTATTAGAGACTCAGTCTGATAATGTCCTCTTCATTATATGGTTGTATGCTTTTTGTTAATCTTTTTTTAAATAAAAGACCATTTGGGTAATTGTAGTACATGTAGATGTAGATTATCAAAACGTGAAGTTTTTTTTTCTATAAGTTGACCTTTAACCATGAAACCTCCGTGTACGTAGGTCTTATGTTGCCCTGAGCAAACAACCTTCTTCTGGGGTTCGCCCCCCTCCCTTTCCGTCTACAGACCTGTTAATTAAACAACATAAAAGATCACAGGAGCTGAGGGAGGTAACTCGCTACCTCCCCCCCCCCCCCCCACACACACACACGATCGTTTTTTTT